GGCTGTTACTTCTAGGAATAAGTGTTTTGCTTTTGCTTAATATAACAAGGAGGAAGATTAGGAAGAATTAAAGTGTAAAATAATAATTATATGTCCGCTACTAGTCAAAAACAAGTTCTCGTTCAGAATATCCAAAAGGATTTTCAACAATCCAAAGCCGTTATTTTTTACAATTTTCACCATGCGGAAAATCGAGAACTTTTTAAATTAAAAAAAGAATTAAAAAAAGTGGGCGGGCAGTGAAAAGTTTATAAAAATAGTTTGGTGGAAAAAGCCTTGCCTAATTATTCTTTACGATTACAACAAGCCAACGCTTTTATTTTTTGCCAGGAGGACGAATATAAGCCGTTAAACATTCTCGCTCAATTCAATAAGGAGTATTCCACTATTAAAAGATTCCAGGGTGGTATTTACGAGCAAAAGTTAGTTAGCAAAGAACTTTGCGAAAGATGAGCCAATTTGCCAAATAAAGAAACACTAATCAATACTTTTTGTTATTATCTCCATTGACACACCTGCCGACTTATTAATATTTTAGAGAAGATAAAAACATGTTCTAATGATTAAAAGATTTTTTAAAATGACCCGAAGGAGAAGCTAAAAATATTAGTGATTTGGGTAATTATTACAATGCTCATAAAAACTGGCCGTTTTTAAATATGAAAGCAAAAGTAAATAAAACTGAAAAGAAAGAAATAAAACAAAATAATATTTGTAGGCTAGAGCCTCCTTTAAAAAAGAGGTGCCTAGGTTAAGTTCTCTCCTCCACACCAGCGATACAGTAACAAAAATAATTGGGGAGCGTGGACAGGTAAGGAAGAATTTAAAGATAAATACAAGTGCGATTTTTGTATATTTAATATGTTTAAGAACCGAAAACTTGAATACTTGCGAGAAATCACTAGCAGTGATAAACGCCGACTTCTGAGAAGTTATTTCTATGATAAAAAACTGGCAACTTCTATATAATTCAAACCAGCCTTTTTAAAAAAAATAAGCATGCCTACTCATACGCTAATTTAAAATCTATATTACTACTTTTTTAATAATTAAATTGCTTAAACGCTTTGCTTTGGCTTTTATTCTTACTTCTTATCAAGAGCCAAAAAATAATTAGTTCAATTCCGCCAGTAGAAATCATAATAATTAAATAATGTTCGTCAAGCAATGTTTTGACTGGGCGCAATTTAGTTTGTAAAGGTGGTGGTAATTTTTGGGGATTAGTCGCAGCAGTAATAAGGACGAAATTTGACAAATCAACTCTTTCTTTTTCCTCACTTTGATTGCTTTTATATTCTCATAAATTATTATTTTTTTCGGTATCAAGGAGGGAGATAAGCAGTTTTTCTAACTCGGAATTAATGGCAATTTTATCAAGGTTTTTTAACAAAATAATTGGAGAAAAATCTTGTTGGAAAATTTGTGAAAGTTGTTCATATCATAAATAATTTTTTCTCTCTTTTTCTATAATGTTTTCAATTTCTTTTTTAACTGGCTCAACCTGATTATAATTATTAAAGTCAATAATATTAATATCTACTAGTCCTTTGTGCCTTAAATTATTTATTCGGGTTAATTGTTGGCTAAACTCTTTCCCACCCAATAACAATACTGAATATTTTTCCCCGCCGTATTTGTTAATTCATGCACAAGTTTTTTCGTGGTAAGTTTCTTTTTTTTTTAGTAATTCCAAAAGGTCAATAGTGGGCTTTTCTCCTTTGGCCATTTGCTCGCGGGCTTTTTCCCCCTCGGTTTCTAATTCTTTTTTTAAA